CTAGAAAAGTGTTAGTGACGTCACCCGGATTTTACACGAAGACCCCTCGAGCGACCTTTATCTTTTGTCCGAAACTCCTTGAGCGTAGCATTGGGACGCCAACGCTCGGTAGGACCTCAAAAGGGAGTTTTCGTATACCGTTACCGCTGACCCGCAATGTTCTCCGCAACCCGGAGATCCGGGACTCTGCAGGCTAACCCCGTCCAGCTGTAAGCTGAGACTGCTGTGGAAGGTACGTCCTCGTTGGACCAGTCATATGCCTCTCTTTCGCCACGTCATCATGCTCTAGGCCATACACACGCGGGGAGAGGCGGGTCAGGTGATAAGAGGGAAGCGGCTGATTGGTCCGGTGATAGCGTTGCTCCCAGTGCAGTCTCAGCTTAGGGGAGAATGAAGTATAGACCTTTTCAGCAGCAGTACGTCTCTAACCCCTGTTCGAGACGTGCGCTGTAAATTCTCTCGATTTACAGGGCGCGTCCCTGGTTTTCAGAATATACGTCACTGTTGCCCGACTGCGCTGGGCTGTGGATTTCCTCGACAGTTAGGTACGGCAGCCTGAGTAGGCCCAATTCCGGACACTAAAAGCGGCTAAATTGACTAGTTCTTTATTATTATTTCTTCTGTGGCGAATTTAATTTTTCGAGGTTTTAAAGAAAGCATTGTACTATTTTTAGCAAAAGCACAAACAAATGAAAGCCATCTTTGGTGAGTTCGTACGCGACAAAACAAATTCAAACGGAAGGATTGTTTCATTTTGTGTTGATTATTTTTCGGCACTGTACGCTCATCCATAGCCTCCTTAATACTGGCAAAGCCAGGCAGATCGCCGCGAGAAGCGGCCGCCAAACTGGAAAAGGTAGAGCGGCAGACAAATGAATTAGAGAGAGCCCTTGACGGGCGCCCCGCTGCGGCGAGACGCCGAAACTCACTTCTCCTGAGCGATGGAATGTCCGCTCGTTCTCCTCGCATTGCTCGCGCTACCGCTTCTTATCTCATCAGGCTTGAAAGCCATGTTTCAGGTCTTCGCCGCTGCAAAAGCTGTGCGCTGACGTCCATGTTCCCCGAGAAGTACTCTGTGCTACCAGATCCTCGCGCTCCAAATTTGCGACCGTGCACTCTACGGCCCCGTCGTCGAACTGCCAGACTTTGTGAGTATAAAGGCTCAGCCGTGTCAATCTACAAAGGTCTTTACATTCGAAAATATTGGACTTCACAGGATATCTGAACTGCGTGGGTATTCCCCGCTCACAACATAACATTCTACGATCGCATCGATCGATCAACATATTGTACGTAGTGCCCCATCGTACCGCGTTATCCGAACAGGATTTAAGAAAGATCTCAAATAACACAGGCTATCCAATATACAGTGTTGACGATAGTCACTTCACGCCGATTGGGCTATTTGAAGAGAGCTGCTTTTTTTGCACAACGCCAAAGCAAATGAACGAACGTGTCTATTCCGTCCCAATACGATCATACACCGGAACGACCATATCAGCCATATTACGCGAAGACCGGGAACATAGCTTTGCGAAGCTTATCTCAACGGAAATAATTCTCCAAGAACGCCGCAGGCCGCTTGCCTTTCACTCTCTTCGTTCGTTTCCTGCATAGGCCTGGTACTCCCTGGTAAAACAAGGGAAGATAACACAAAAAGAGCATCCTGAACAGGCAAATAAAGTAAAAACTTTGAAGAGAAGCCTGCGAACTCTGAATGTATTACAAATTACAATGCAGGTAGGGAGTCGCACTGACCGCGTTTCTACAGCTCAGGCGGGTGGCTGAAATTTCTGGCTGATAGGGGTCGCTCGAGTCGCAAACTGGGGGTGGCCTGAGAGCTCTTTTTGCGAAGGTGTATTGGTTAGCGCCGCGCATGCGCAGTAGCGGGGTCTTCGTTCCAGGGAGCGTAGCGAAGCTGAGGAAGCGGTCTAAAGAAAAACTCCCGAATGAACCATTGTCGGAAATCGCCGATTCAGGAGGTTCTAGTATGAAATTGCATGAGCACGTTTTCGAGCGAGCGCAGGCACTAGCTTGGACAAGGAAGCTAGATCTTGTTGGATTTATTGAGTTGCAGTGACCCCGATTGGGCTTCTCCAAAGCCCCCTGTGACCCTCTTGTGGTGTAACTTTCACTTTGGCTCCCAAGCTTGTTTAAAGGTGTTTCTTTTATCACACATGATTCTAAGCTTGAGACGAACGGATCAAAAGGGGAAAAACAGACATCTCCGTAGCGCTAACCATATCGCATGTTTAATAACTTTGTTCTAGATGCCCGAATTCTTTCATTCTCGGAATACTTGAACCAAATTTCTGCCAGGTGTACCAGCTATTTCTAAACTATTCGGATTGTGGAACCTTGACCTTGGTGCGTGAAGAATACTTTGAGCTGGTGCGAAAAGGGTGGGGGAGGGGGGGGGGAGGGGAGGGGAAGGGAATGGCGCATAAAAGCGGTTTTGTAGACACTCTCCGGCGCTAGCTGTGTTTCCTCCTTGACATATTCTTTAAATTTTGTTTGCCAGTTTTAAGGTACAGGTGTTCCTCCTCGCCCTTGATTGGGAGGACAAAGTACTCGCCCTTGGTTGTTGATCAGCGATCGACGCTGCTGTCCTCAGGTCGATGTTCCTCCTGAGCGTGCGCGAGTGTCGTCCACTCGCGTTCTCATCAACAAGTCTGGCTGCCTGAACAACTTCTACTTTGGTTGTCACGGGAATGCAACGCCGAAATACATGTGATGTCTCTCAAATTGTGGCAAGGCATATTAGGAACCTACTGCTGAATGCATCAAGAGCCGAGCCTGCCGCCCAACTAAAGCACCGCAGTGATCTGTCCACAATACCTTTGTTCATAAAACCTTTTGGTGCCCATTATGTTGCAAAACCCAAATTATTTCAAAGTAATCTTCGGTTTCAGCAGCTAAGGCTCCTTTTGAACGGCATAAAGCTGACAGCAGATTGTGATCTTCAGCGAAGTCTTCACAGGTACAGTACCCCGGTTTTACTTTTTTATTCTGACATTACCAGCTTGCAACATGCTTGCAAAGTATCTTCGGAAGTAATTCAATTACTTTTCTCAATCGATTACAGCGGAGCTGTTAAGGACTAGTTTCCCGAGGATCGCGTCCCCCGCAAAGAAATGAAGACACCGAACTCTGGACACCTACCGCCATCTATGAGCGACAGCGGCAAGTCACATATCTGGTTGCCGCCGTCGGCAACCAGATATGTGACTTAGATGGCGGCAGCCTTTCCACTCTGGCTTGCCAACTTGCGGTCAGCCTTTACTTTCCATTGTACAGCTCCACTGGTCTTCCTTCTTCACCAGAGTGGAAAGGCTGACAGATTTTTGTACTGTACTCAAGATGGTTCGCAGTTAACTAGATTGCTACCTTAATTACATTTTAGAACTGTGACTAGTATTATATTGTAAATACTTTTGTGGCGTATTTGGTGCAACACTAATGCAAAGTAACAGGCTGCAGTTGAGCCCCCCCCCCCCCCCCCCCTTTGTCGGTGCATAATACTAGAAAGAAAAGTGCCAATGCAAATACGCGGTGCTAAAAACGCAACGTCCCGGCGTTCGCTGTCTGCCACTGCGCATGTGACAATCGGCTTAACCAATCAAGCGCAGGTGTGCACCTTGACCTTGCGGTTTTAGTCTGTGCGTTTGTGCTTTTGTTTCTTCCAGTTTTAGATTTGCACGTTCAGCGCTGTCGGTTGCTCCGCCAGTGCTCGGTGGTCCCGACCTTCTAACAATGGGCACGTGACTTTCGGAGGGGGTCCATAACACCGCGACAAAGACGCTTATTTGTCAGTGGCTTTGCAGGTGAGTGTAGCTAGGGTAGAACATGGGCCACTAAACTTGCGTAAAGGCGGAAAGGTTCCAACATAAATACCTTTCCTTTGGATTTGAGCGCTTCGGGATAGCGTAAAAACTTCAGAAATAATCAAACATAATTAAGGAGAGAGCACACTGACAGCATATCTTACCATAGGTGTTCTTTCCGTGTTCTCTCCTGAGATGTTACTTTATTTGTCATATTTTACTAATAGCGTTGCACGAAATTTTTGCATGCTACTGTAGCTAATGTAGCTACTACTTCTAATATTAGTTTTTTTTTTTTTAAATCTCGCTCCTAATTTTGATAAGACTACAGTCACCTTTCGTACTAATATTAAAACGTAAAACAGTTTTTTTTTAAGTTTGTAGCTCTCGAGTCTGGGCAGCGCCCTTATCAAGCACATCAGATACTTTCCGGTCGCATTTCGGTTGAGCGATAATACGCTTCCTCACGTTGCTCGTGGAGAGTAATCTGGCAAATTTACTTTGGTGGATCTAAATTTGTAAGGTTCAACAAGGACACTAAACCATAGATAAGAATTATTTTCTGGTAAAATGCGAGCGAGTTGAACATGGATACTCAAAGTCGAAAGAATAAAACACGGAGAAGAACGTGAAAGTTGTCACCCACTCTTTGCCTAAATCTTTGCCTAGCAGTCCTGCCCAAAATAAACGTCGTTGCTAAATGAAGGAATGTGGTTGTCCTGTGCTTGTCCTCCGTGCTTTATTCTTTCGATTTTAAGTATAATTATTATCTTTTTGATAAAGACGAAAGCACAATCTTTTCTTTTTTTACTTTTTTTTTAAAACGCAGTTGTACCGCGCCTATTTAGAAGTTGACTCACGATTATAGACAACCTTGACTCGTGCAGGATCATATTCTGCAGTGCTCCGTTATCCTTGATGAAAACATTACATTTAGAAGAATGGATAGCTGGTCGAGTTGGTGAGAATTCATCGTAGGAAACTGCGCGAAAAACAGAGGACAGTGTTTTTTAGCGCTGTTGTTTCGCGCTGTCGCGATAGTTCATAGTCAGCGCTCGTAGCGTGCTTTTTTTCTTCGTCCTCGTCTGTTTTTCACGCCGTTTCCTACGATAAGGAATACATGGTCGCGTCGTAAGGACGGGGTCCCTCCCCCTGGCCGAGAGAAGCAGGCTGATTTTAGCAAACCACTTGGCAAGACCTGACTTGACTTTTGAGAAGAACGTGGCAGTTGTAACCCACTATTTGCCTAGCAGTCTGTGACAAGAGGGTCATTTTACGATTTTAAACACTAAGAGGATTGAGGAATTGTGACCGAAATATTAGGTTCGGGTTACCTTGGTGTGATTCATTTCGCGAGCTGACGAGTATTTTGTAGCCGCCGTGATCATGTAGATATATGTGCAGTATAAGAGACGTTTTTGTTCTCGTGAAACATCTGGCATGGAAGTTTAACACTGTAGCTACATATTTAAATGATTATTATGCCATCTCTGCACTCTCTATTTACTGATATATAGACAAATACGCGTTCATCTGCATGCACAAAAAGGAAAAAAGGCTAACGGAGCGTATTTTAACAAGTGAGTCCGAAAAAAATATATATGGTCTGTCAGATATCAAAAAAGTACTTCGCGTGTAAACTCAGCACAACACTAGAGAGGGCCAATAAGTTTTACCTCTGTTAGTGCCAAACACGTGACGATGCCAAAAAAATCTTGATATTGATCTGCCATGCTGCCCTTAAAAAAGTAGAACTGAATTATCAACAACTTTATTTTTATGTAATATAGCCGGGGTGTCGGTTCAAGGGTACCTGTGAGAAAAAGGAGCGCCCAAGCAGCAAAAAGCTTTTCTGGTGACTTACCACTGTACCGTTCGAGCAAACCCCGTCTGGGAACAGCCGCCATTTTCCATTATTGCACATCACGCCGCATGCTTCTGGATCAAATTTCTTGTATTCCTGAAATACATTTACATAATGTCACGAATAAAAATGCGTAGTAGAAATATGTAAGTAAAAAATATATCTTTAACATGTTCAACTTGCAACAAAAGCGAACATACGAAGCGCATTAAGTGGCATCGCTTACGTCAATCTCGGTGTAATTACGGGATCTAGATCAAAGGGGAATGCTGACTGCAGCGGTTCTCTCCCTTGAACGCTTGGCAGCTTTCGGTACTGTAGTTGAGGAGGCGCTGATGACTTTTGCGGGTGTCTGAACCGGCCGGAAAGAAGCCGCAATAGGGATTTGTAGGAGAGCTGACCGGCTCCGTGGGTAGAAAATACATGGCCTTCAAGCCGATTCTGTTCATCACACGTCAGACTTGCTTTTCGCTTTATTTAACTTTTTCTTAATACAGTATTTTCCATAAGTAGACATCTACACGTTGCTGAACAATATTAACTAAACTCGTTTACTCGTTACTCACCCAAAAAGTAACTGAGAACTGTACTAATGAAACTTATCGGGAACACAGAAGCTGCGTAATATCTCATTAGAGTGCTATCCTGGCGGCAGTCGAAGAACTGCTCTATGACGTAGCGCTCAGTGAAACAATCCGGGCAGTTGCGACCGCTAGCTGAAGGTTGAAATCGCGACCGAACTGCAGACACCACAGAAATTTTGCCTGTGAGGCAATCCACGCCTTTTAGCCACCCCCTCACTTACGGTGTATATACTGGGTGTATCAAGGAGCGGCCAGGCTCTTTAAATCGACCGCAACGGGGGTCACTACACTCCTGGGAGCCAACATACGATCCGATCCCAGACAACACCTGCCGGTGTCGGGAAACCGTTACCGTCTACCGGATCCGGACAGGTGGTGCGATCACCCCTCGAGTGACCAACGATATATGATTCATCGCTCTCAAGAGAGAGCTTTACACCGTCCCGCTTGACCTGGACTGCCAGCGTTGTAAGGTGCCAGGAGCCATCCCCAGGTTTTCCCACGAAGATCGGGATTCGGGAGTGCGAAGCCCTAGCAGCTTTTGAGAGACCGTCATCGAGAAACTGCCAGTAACGGTCAGACCAAGGTCTATGGCGGAGCGGGCCCGCCCGACCGAGGATGCGAAAAGGAGGGCTGGGATTCTGAGAATACTCTTGAACTACGTGTCCCTGGGCAACACATCCTAGATAACAAAGCCACAGTGGTGATAGAAATGACGTCATCAGCGACGGCCAACGCTGACCACAGATGGGGCGTGATGATTGCATCAATATTCGGCTCACACTGGACTCGAATCCAAGCGCTGACACAGCGATCGGTTCCAATCTTTGTCCAGCGTTGACCTTTGCTGGTGACGCAAGAATGTGAGCACTACGGTTTTGCCTTCTAGGCAGTTTTGACCAGGGGAGCTCAGGATCTAGACTACCACTCCCCTCGGACACCTTGAGCCTGCCGCGCTGCATCGTTCCTTATCGGCTTCACAATTGCCATCAGAGCCATAGTTACAAGCAAGAGTCCTTTGAAGTTCGCCCAGGCTCCCAGCTATACCGGTGGCGCACGAGCAGACAACCCGAATGTTAGGATGTAAACTCGCGTAGGGCTCTCCATTTTCAATACACGTCAATTGTTTCCTTCCATTCGGTTTGGCGGAGCGACCGAAGTGCGAAGTCACGAGCCAAGTTACGAACTATGAATTGGCTTGTATAGTTCGTGCCGTTCATCACGGTATAATCCTAAGGTGAAACGGAGTATAGAGTAGACCAAGCACATGCAGGCCGGGCGAGCCGCAAAAGCAGCGGCTTCCCAGATTGAGGCGAGGCCGCATTCCTCGAAGAGGGCGGTGTCTCCCTCGCTTTTTTGGGTGAATCTGCTACTGGCACACCCGTATACGAGTGAACATTGACGCAACCCGTTTCCGGGCTTATGGCGCGTTGACAGTGGAAGCGGATTTGCGAACGCGAAGCGGATCCGGGCGTTCTCAACTGCAAAGTGGCTATAATCGAGCGGTTGGAGCGCGTTTTTGCCAACGGCTTCAGGACCGATTACTCCCGACCGCTTTCACGAACCGCACAGCGGCCACCAATCACAATGCGAAAATGACGTGACGTCAATGACTTTCGAAACAAGATGGCACCTGTCGCTGATGCGGTGTCCAAGGCGCTGTAGTCCTAGCGTTACAGCAAACAAATCGACGGAGAAACGTGATGTTCACGTCCGTCGATTGAATCCTCCTCGAAAAGAATTGACTCGTGATCTTAACGGGCTTGGCACCGGTAATCTGGTTCGGGTAAGAATTTGTTTATAATTCCGGGTGGCCACATCCCAAAGCTCGCTGCCTTGTTAGTCTCTGCCCGTAGAACGTCGGAACCCGCCCTGATCGACCGAAATGTCAGACAAAGATAGTCGTGTGAACTATTGAAAGCTTTCGTCACCGTGCATGACCACCACGAAGGCCGATAGGGACGTCGTGAGCCTGATTGCGTAGCCAACGCACTACCGCGGAGTGGGCAGGGTCGCTAGCTCGACCTGTAACGTTTACTGCTAACAAAAGAAATAAAGGAAACACACTCAAGGAATAAAGTGTACATACCAAACGATGCAGAGGTAATTCATACGGCGTTTATTTGAGCTTAATGTCAAACAAACAGTAGACTGGATCGACGTGCGATCGGTGAGAGGAGAGTCCGCCACCAACGAAGCCACGACCGGCCGGCTAGCACCGAACACATTCACCCGCACCACGGTCCAGCCCACCACTCTTAACTTCAAATATGATAAGAGCGAAGAAAGAGGGGAAATACTGGCCCTCTATCCCGAAAACAAGGTCAGCCTATTTATGCGGAAAGGGTCCACTTCGAAGAAAAGGTTGGGGACATCCTTTTCCGAGTCAGCAAGGCGCGCCTAGCTGAGCTTTGCTGTTGGCGAAGTCGAGAGAATTGCCAGACAAGTTTCACGGGTGCATGTCTCTTTTTCCGCTGCCTGAACTCGTGATGCGTGCGAACTTCCCAACGAAAATTGTTCAGAGTGCCCGGAGTGCCCAAATAGCAACATTTTGGCTTTGGATCGTGGCTTAAAGTGAATTTTGGATTGTGATACAGGGTTGACAATTGCAAGCCTCAAAAGATCACGCGTTATCGCCGAGAAATCTCCAACCGTCCCTCGCCAACCGCCAACCGCCTCTCGGTGTGTCTAAACGGGGTCGCTCGCGAACCGCATCCGCAACCGCTTCGCGAACGCGGATACGCTTCCAGTGTGAATGCGCCATTATCCAGACCGCCTACTCCGGGTGCGTCCATTCTCCGAAGGTTGTATAAGCCGACCTCCAAACACACCCGAGACGCTGAGGGAGGCTCTGGTCTTCTTTCTTTTTGCAGCTTCCCCCTTCCCAGGAATCTACCGAGTACGGTAGCATGGGCCACTCCAGGTGAACCTGTCTGATGCGACAGTGCCGACCTTCTCTTGTTCATTTTTTTCTTCTGTTTGGCCGACGGGCAAAACGTGTTGGCGTATTCATCAATAAACACCTAGTTCTACGGTCCGACAGACGTCGTGTGTTTCTACGTGGTACCCCCCGCCCCCCCCCCCTCCCCCCCAAAAAAAAAAGAAAAGAAAAAAAGAAAGGGAAACCCAAGCTACTTTTTTTTTTTTATAAAAGTAAGTATGTAATTTTGGATTATCTAGAAAAAAAAATCTACTTTGTATTTTATTGTTTTCTATGCCGTCAAAGACTCACAGATCTTAGCAATGTGCATTCACGGTCTCCGCCTCCTCGAATATAGGCCTCGCATTCGTTGAGCACATCGGTGGTATGGGAGAAGGATTCCCCTGAAATAAAACATTGTGAATGAAAATACTAGGTCGCAGGATCATGTCAACAGCTCTTTTTAAGCTAAAAACGCAAACGATTTAGTTGAACTTTCTTTTCTTTTTTATTTTAACGTTCATTTCAGCTTCCCAGTATACATACCAGGTACAGGAGGCTCATCGTATTGTCGAGTGTATTTTTGATTGAATACATCAACAAAGCCATTGCCCTATTATTTTTATTAGAAGTGTATAAACGTTGATTAGTTACGCCGTTTTTCTGCTTCGATCACCAATATTACTGATACTATTTTTTTTATTAAGGATGCCCTCGCTAATGTGTGCACTTCGTAGTTGTTTCTAAAAGCGAATACTCGTTGTTGATGTCTGACTCCGGTACATTTTGTGGAGTTTAGGGTAACGACGGTTTTAGGGGCGAAGCTCCTTAGAGGCTAGCCATGTCCGTATGTCCGTTCGATGTCTGGCGTCGGGTGCTCGTCCTCACGAGCACGTGAGCACGTGCTCCCGTTCTCGTGTCGGGCAAAAAAAAAAACAAAAAAAAACAACAACAACTGCATCTCCACGTGGTGAACGATGTTGATTGGGGCGAAGCTCTGGTGGTGCTTGTCTGCGTCGACGCTGAGCCGCAGCATGCCGAGCCTTCCGTTCGTTTTCATCCATGTCAGAAAGAGAATGTGTGGTATGGAACGTGGTTATATACGCATTTCAGCATTTGACCGCAGCGTGACATGGAGGAGAACGAACGAAAGGCTCGGCATGCTGCAGCTCAGCGTCTACGCAGACCAGCACCACCAGAGCTTCGCCCCAACCAACATCATTCACCACGTGGAGATGCGGTTGTTTTTTTTAGTGAAGAGCGTACCTATACTTCAAAGTGTCCGTTTTTTATGCCTTGTGTAGGTGCAATCCTCTAGATGTTCCATCTAGAACTTTTGTTTTGGGGGTTTACGGCGATACCAGGGCCCGTTTGCTCGAAGCGCTAACCGCGGCTAAAGTTAGCCGCAGTGCCTAGGAAAGGGACTTTGAAATCACGTAACTGGCTTGGTCGGGATGGGGGAAACATGCATGGCGGTGCCCCGGTGAGTGAGCGCCGCTTGCTTTAAAACTAAGATGACGTTGTAGCTGCAGTATCGGGCGCGTTAGTCAGCAACGAATGGTGCAGGAGGCTTTCGCTTTGCCTTACCTCACTTAAATCGCAAAGCATGAGCAATGACCTCGCCGCATTTTTTTAGATAGTCTTCTATTCTGGCCATCCCTAAGCCTAAATGAACGCGATAATTGTTGGCATGACAACGTCTTTGGAAAGTGGATTGTCTTGACTCAGTCGGCCGGGTATTCTAGCACATAAAAGCAGACAGCCTCCCAAGAGACCTTTTTCTAAATTTCCCAAGCACCAAGGTGCATGCTACGAGTGTAGTTACACGCGTTGCACGTGCTGGCGTCTGCAGTAGTGATTGTTCTGAAGCAAAAATTATAAAACAAATTTTGCCTTGCACGCGCGTTCGTCAAAGCCTTATTATGATTATTTACTTCGAATCTTTATAAGAGGAAGGCCAGCGCGCGCGGACCGTAGGATTACACTTCCAGCGTTCTCCTCGATGCTTGGGTAAATTAGACAAAGGCCTACTGACAACCTTACATACTTGTTTTCCTTAAGTTCCAAGCCAATCTGGACATTTCGGTCGAACTTGGCTTTATCGGAGGTTGTTTGTTTTAGCTGTTTCTAAAATAAATATTCAGTTGAGATTCAGTGCTCGTCCTGTTTGCCTTCCTTTTATGTCCTTATCCATTGTTAGCCTTTTTAATTTTATAGGCACAAGAAACCTAAAAAACGAAGGCAACGTTACTAAAACACACAGTTGGGAAACTCGCCGTCAAAACCTGGGCCGCTGGCGTCCACCGAGGCCGAGCTAAATACGACAACAGCGCCACTCTTTATCATCTGTCTGCACTGTGCTCACCTTGAGCTTTTACAAAGCATGTTTTTGCGTAAAAACAAACCGAAAAGACTCTTTTTTGTATGAAATTCGTTAAAGTTTAGTACAAAATGGAGGGCGCGTGATGTTTTTATAATCTTTAGTTTGCAAGGTTTAGCGGCACAATTAATATTGTTTTTATGCAACCACGCCTCAGCGGTGCTTTCAGGTAGCGCGTCCCAACCTAGGTGCATTTTAACTTCGGTAGTAAGACGTCGCGCGTCCGCTGGGGAGACGGGGTGGCACCCCTGTAACCCCTTCCGCTGTATTTGTTTCGGCGCCAAAATGGCCGATTAAAGCCAAAGAAACGTCACCTGCAGTTCCTCGAGTATCCGCTGCGGGAGAAATGGCGGCGCTGTGTTCGCCGTTAGCTCGGTGCTCGAGGACAGATCGGGGACAGTTTTTCAGAGCAGTCTCTGTGGCAGTTTCCCAACTGAGTGGTTCTAATAACGTTGACGAAGGTGACATCAGGGCACAAGGTTGCTTGATAAGCAGGCGAACCGCTGAATGCCCTCTGAGAAGCTTGTGGTAGCATTTTTAATATGAATTTGAGAGTAGATCGCGGTTTTTCATTAGTGTAATATTTTGGCAGTGCTCATATTTTGTCTCCGTAAATTGATACCAGTAATCTAATTTGGTTCGACGGTTGACCAGAGTTACGCCCTTTAATTTAAGAGGGGTGTTTCATAAATGTTTCTTCCTGGGCTGTCCTTTTTTAATCGGTGTTGGAATTGAGTGATGTTATACTCAAATGCTAGTTTGAAATCTCCTCTTTTCCAGGAGTGCACAACTGTTCGATCAACTCTCAACCAGCGGCGATTCAGTTCCGTTGCCGGTGCACTAGTCTGTTTATGCCGTTCTAGAAGAATGAGGTCGCCTGTGGACGAGACCAACGTCGCGCTGAAAGAGCTGCAGTTCCTAGGCGTTTTGCGTCACCAACTTTACGGCCAGGACTTCGCGCCATCAGACTTATTCTTCAAGATGAGAGAACATTTGAAGGGAACACGGTTTTCGTCTGACGACGAGGTTACCGCGATGTAGAGCGCCATTGATGTCAAGAGCCGCTCCAGCTCCGGAGTTCTTGTTTACCTGGTCTTGCTTGTTGGCTTAGCACGGTATAGCCTTCTTATTCTACATAAAACATGCCCCCCCCCCCCCCCCCCCCGGCCAAAAATAAAATAATTACACGAATACACCTAAGACTGCTTACGTGCAGGAAGGCGAAAGCAATCATAGTTTCGCGGCGGAAATGTTTTCGGGTAATGCTTCTGCATGGTATTAAAGTTTAGGACGACCTCTAGGACGACGTGGAGGACGAACTCAAGGATGGCGTCTAGGACGACGTCTCGAACAACCTCAAAGGCGACGTCTAGGACGACCTTAAGGAACGTCGAGGAAGACGTTGAGGACGCCGCCTAGAGAACGACGTTTAGGACGATGTAGAGAACGACGCCTAGAAGACGATGTCTAGGACGACCTCTAGGACGACGTCAAGAATGACGTTTAGGACGACCTCTACGATGACGTCAAGAACGACGTCTAAGACGACTTCTAGGGCGACCTCAAGGACGGTTTTAAGGACGACGTCGAGAGCGATGCCTAGAGGACAACGTCTAGGACGGCGTCGAGAACGACGCCTAGAGGTAGATACTTCAGGAGGCCGCGGCGTATTTCCGTGACCGGCTACGTTTGCCTGCGGAAGCCGCCGTAGGTGTAGAGGCTGCTGCCGATGTTGAGGCCGTGGGTGTAGATGCGGTCACCTTACAGTCCATCGCACGAAGCACACAACGAGCACAGATGAAATCCGAAGCGCACATTTTGCACGCGGTGCTCTTGCGGTGTCATCACGCTCCCGCACTTGAGCGTGAGCGTGAGCGGCATGTGCTTGGTGACGTCATTTTTATCCTTCGTGCACATCGGTGCAGCTTTATCGCGTAATGAGACAAGTGATGTCGTCCTAGAGGTCTAGAGGTCTAGAGGTCTAGAGGTCTAGAGGTCTAGAGGTCTAGGTCGACCTAGAGGTCTAGAGGTCTAGGACGAGTGGAGGACCTCAAGGACGACGCCAGGAACAGCATCGTCCTAAGCATACGATTGAGCGGCGCGTAACGCTTAATCGTATGTTTATGGCTATTTGCGTCGCTTTTCCACTCACTGGGGCAAGTAAGGCTTTGGCCTTAATATAGCCTCTGAACTCAACAGCTTTTTTCGGAAATTGTTAAGGTCACTTAATATTGAGTTGCATCACCGATGTATGCATATTTTGCAGAGAGCATTGTGTATGCGTCTACTTAATCTGACAAAAATGATCACATCTTAAGAACTCGCAATAGCATTGGTAATACATTAAAATACGTACCGCTGCAAAATGGATGAAACTAATCACGGCGCCGCGGCGTGCGTGACAAAGCGGTTAGACACCGGGCGACGGTCAAGGCGTATCATAGTTAGACTCGGACACTCGTATCTCTGGCCTTATACTGCGTATGCGCAGTTGCCCTAGTCTGTGGCCAGGCTGAGAAGCATGTACAGAAAGCCGTGCGCTCCGTTGTTCGTATTTCAATGTATCGCGATTGTACTCTTCCCTACACAGAGAAGGAAATTAAAAAGAAAACTCTGTCACGTCTAGACGACCGACCATTTACGACGTCCAAAATATTAGCGGTCTGGGACCCTCCACTTAGAGAGGATAAGGCCGCAAACGTTCTCCTATGTTTTTATTTGCAGCTCGCCTTAAGTTCTGTTTGAAAAGAAGTGTTACATTAGCCATTATTCGTGTTCGGGGAGGGGGGGGGGGGGAGGGAGGGGGGGGGGGGGGGGGGGCTCCACGAGAGCGTACTACACGAGAGCGTACGACACGAGAACGCACGACAGCAGAGCTCCGCGATGCGAGATAGTGTGTCATTAAAGCGTGCGTCACGAGACTGCTGCAAAACAGCTGCGGTCCCTAAACTGCCCTTTCCCTTAGCAGTCAAGTATTAAATCCCCTTCTGTCGTTACTGGGCTGTCATAGATTGAATTAACTGA